TACTTGACCATGATGAACCTACGAACTATGAAGAAGCGATGGTGAGCCCAGATTCCACAAAATGGCTTGAGGCCATGAAATCTGAGATGGGATCCATGTATGAGACACAAAGTGTGGACTTTGGTTGACTTGCCCGATAATCGGCAAGCCATCGAGAATAAATGGATCTTCAAGAAAAAGACTGAGGCTGACGGTAATGTTACTGTCTACAAAGCTCGACTTGTTGTGAAAGGTTTTCGACAAGTTCAAGGGTTGACTATGATGAGACTTTCTCACCCGTAGCGATGCTTAAGTCTGTCCGAATCATGTTAGCAATTGTCGCGTTTTATAATTATGAAATTTGGCAAATGGATGTCAAAACTGCATTCCTGAATGGATTTCTGGAAGAAGAGTTGTATATGATGCAACCAGAAGGTTTTGTCGATCCAAAGTGTGCAAGCTCCAGCGATCCATTTATGGACTGGTGCAAGCCTCTCGGAGTTGGAATAAACGTTTTGATAGTGTGATCAAAGCATATGGTTTTATACAGACTTTTGGAGAAGCCTGTATTTACAAGAAAGTGAGTGGGAGCTCTGTAGCATTTCTAATATTATATGTGGATGACATATTGTTGATTGGAAATGATATAGAATTTCTGGATAGCATAAAAGGATACTTGAATAAGAGTCTTTCAATGAAAGACCTTGGAGAAGCTGCTTATATATTGGGCATCAAGATCTATAGAGATAGATCAAGACGCTTAATTGGACTTTCACAAAGCACATACCTTGATAAAGTTTTGAAGAAGTTCAAAATGGATCAAGCAAAGAAAGGGTTCTTGCCTGTGTTACAAGGTGTGAAGTTGAGTAAGACTTAATGCCCGACCACTGCAGAAGATAGAGAGAAAATGAAAATTGTTCCCTATGCTTCAGCCATAGACTCTATCATGTACGCAATGCTGTGTACCAGACCTGATGTGTGCCTTGCTATTAGTTTAGCAGGGAGGTACCAAAGTAATCCAGGAGTGGATCACTGTACAGCGGTCAAGAACATCCTAAAATACCTGAAAAGGACTAAGGATATGTTTCTCATTTATGGAGGTGACAAAGAGCTCGTCGTAAATGGTTACGTCGATGCAAGATTTGACACTCATCCGGATGATTCTAAATCGCAAACTGAATACGTGTTTATATTGAACGGTGGAGCTGTTAGTTGGAGCAGTTCTAAACAAAGCGTCGTGGCAGGATCTACGTGTGAAGCGGAGTACATAGCTGCTTCAGAAGCAGCAAATGAAGGAGTCTAGATGAAGGAGTTCATATCCGATATAGGTGTCATACCTAGTGCATCGGGTCCAATGAAAATCTTTTGTGACAATACTGGTGCAATTGCCTTGGCAAAGGAATCCAGATTTCACAAGTGAACCAAGCACATCAAGAGATGCTTCAATTCCATCCGGGGTCAAGTCCAGGTGGGAGACATAGAGATTTGCAAGATACATACGGATCTGAATGTTGCAGGCCTGTTGACTAAGCCTCTTCCACGAGCAAAACATGATCAGCACCAAGACTCCATGGGTGTTAGAATCATTACTGTGTAATCTAGATTATTGACTCTAGTGCCAGTGGGAGACTGAAGAAAATATGCCCTAGAGGCAACAATAAAGTTATTATTTATTTTCTCATGTCATGATAAATGTTTATTATTCATGCTAGAATTGTATTAACCAGAAACATAATACATGTGTGAATACATAGACAAACATAGTGTCATTAGTATGCCTCTACTTGACTAGCTCATTGATCAAAGATGGTTATGTTTCCTAACCATAGACATGAGTTGTCATTAGATAAACGGGATCACATCATTAGGAGAATGATGTGATTGACTTGACCCATTCCGTTAGCTTAGCACTTGATCGTTTTAGTTTACTGCTATTGCTTTCTTCATGACTTATACATGTTCCTATGACTATGAGATTATGCAACTCCCGATTACCGGAGGAACACTTTGTGTGCTACCAAACGTCACAACGTAACTGGGTGATTGTAAAGGTGCTCTACAGGTGTCTCCGATGGTACTTGTTGAGTTGGCATAGATCGAGATTAGGATTTGTCACTTCGATTGTCAGAGAGGTATCTCTGGGCCCTCTCGGTAATGCACATCACTACAAGCCTTGCAAGCAATGTGACTAATGAGTTAGTTATGGGATGATGCATTACGGAACGAGTAAAGATACTTGCCGGTAACGAGATTGAACTAGGTATTGAGATACCGACGATCGAATCTTGGGCAAGTAACATACCGATGACAAAGGGAACAACGTATATTGTTATGCGGTTCGACCGATAAAGATCTTCGTAGAATATGTAGGAGCCAATATGAGCATCCAGGTTCCGCTATTGGTTATTGACCAGAGAAGTGTCTCGGTCATGTCTACATAGTTCTCGAACCCGTAGGGTCCGCACGCTTAACGTTCGTTGACGATATAGTATTTATGAGTTATGTATGTTGGTAACCGAATGTTGTTCGGAGTTCCGGATAAGATCACGGACATGACGAGGAACTCCGGAATGGTCCGGAGATAAAGTTTGATATATGGGATAATAGTGTTTGGTCTCCGGAAGGGTTCGGGAATTCACCGGAAGGGGTTCCGGATGTTTCCCGAAATGTTTGGGCACGAGAACACTTTATTTGGGCCAAAGGGGAAAGCCCACAAGGTTTTTGGAAAGCACAAAAGGAAGTTTGCGGAGTCCAGAGGTCAGACGCCAGGGTCCCTGGCGTCTGGGTCCAGCCGTCGGGAACCCTGGCGTCTGGCCCTGGAGTCTAAGAAGGACTCTTGCCTTTCGGGTGAAACCGACTTTGTGGAGGCTTTTAATCCAAGTTTCGACCCCAAGGCTCAACATATAAAATAGAGGGGCAGGGCTAGTACCCAAGACACATCAAGAAACACCAAGCCGTGTGCCCGTCCCCTCTAGTTTATCCTCCGTAATAGTTTTCGTAGTGCTTAGGCGAAACCCTGTGGAGATTGTTCTTCACCAACACCGTCACCACGTCGTTGTGCTGCCGGAATTTATATACTACTTCGCCCATCTTGCTAGATCAAGAAGGTGAGGACGTCATCGAGCTGAACGTGTGCTGAACACGGAGGTGCCGTACGTTCGGTACTTGGTCGGAACGGATCGTGAAGGTGTACGACTACATCAACCGCGTTGATAAACGCTTCCGCTTTCGGTCTACGAGGGTACGTAGATATACTCTCCCCTCTCGTTGCTATGCATCACCATGATCTTGCGTGTGCGTAGGAATTTTTCTTTAAAATTACTACACCCCAACACCGAGATGAGCGATCGGTCCCACCGAGTTCGCAATGCAAACTCTCTGCTTCCTTTTCGTAACGTTTCGGTCTCACCGAAATGAGCGATCGGTCCCACCGAGTTTGCCTGACCAACTCTCTGTTTGCTTATTACTGAAATCGGTCTCACCGAGTTGAAGTAATCGGTCAAACCGAGATCAAGTTATGCCCTAACCCTAACGCATCGGTCCCACCGAGTTGATCTTGTCGGTCCTACCGAAAAGCCTAATGTTCACATTTTGAACCATATCGGTCTGACCAAGTTTCAGTATTTGGTCCCATCGAGTTTGGTAAATGGTGTGTAACTGTTAGATTTTGTGTGGAGGCTATATATACCCCTCCACCCTCCTCTCCATTAAAGAGACTATCAGAACATGCCTACACTTCCAGCATTCATTTTCTGAGAGAGAACCACCTACTCATGTGTTGAGACCAAGACATTCCAATCCAACCACAAGAATCTTGATATCTAGCCTCCCCCAAGTTGTTTTCCACTCAAATCTTTTTTCCACCATATACAAATCTATGAGAGAGTTGAGTGTTGGGGAGACTATCATTTGAAGCACAAGAGTAAGGAGTTCATCATCAACACACCATCTATTACCTTTTGGAGAGTGGTGTCTCCTAGATTGATTAGGTGTCATTTGAGAGCCTCCGTCAAGATTGTGGAGTTGAACCAAGGAGTTTGTAAGGGCAAGGAGATCGCCTACTTCGTCAAAATCTACCCCAAATGAGGCAAGTCCTTCGTGGGTGATGGCCATGGTGGGATAGACAATGTTACTTTTCCGTGGACCCTTCATGGGTGGAGCCCTCCATGGACTCGCGCAACCGTTACCCTTCGTGGGTTGAAGTCTCCATCAACATGGATGTATGATAGCATCACCTATCGGAACCACGCCAAAAATCTCAGTGTCTACATTGTGTTTGCTCCCTCCAAACTCCTCTCCTTTACCTTTATATGCAATGATTTACATTTCGATGCTATACTCTTAGAATTGCATGTGTAGGTTGATTGCTTGACTTGTGTTAAGTTGATAAAATCTACCAAGACTTAAAATTGAGAAAATGCTAGATTTTTATTTGGTGAATAGTCTAATCAACCCCTCCTCCTCAAACATACTTTCGATCCTACACCGGGCCCAAAATAGCCCGACCCGGATTGAAAAATGGAATAATTATTTAGACTATGCAGGACCCCTATATAAAAAATTTGATTTACTCCCATCTTTACGCAGTTTACAATACAAAAAACTGTAGAGAGGATAAGAGCAAATGCACCCTATTTGAAGCACCTGGATTCCACGCAAGAAGCGGTTTCCAAGAACATCACTGGTGCCTACTCCCTCCGTCCCTTAATATAAGGGTGTTTTGACACAGAGGGAGTATTTCACAAAAAAGAAAAAGAAAAACTCGAGCAGGAATCAGTGTCTGAACTGCTCAGGAGCAATGCACTTGAGTGGATCAATCAAGAGCCAAAGCCAGCAATGTTTCCTTTCCCCTTAAATTATATATGCATATTACTGTATATTTTATACATACAGTTATAGAATTATATACACCTGACCTGACTGCCGCACCTATGAAGAGATATGTGCTGGAAGGAAATGAAAACGCTGTATTGTATATATATGCTTAACAATCTTCTACGTATTCTATACAGTACCAACAACTAAACAGCGACCGCCGGGGTTGGAAGCTCCGGCAGTCCGCTCTCGCCATTCAGCACAATGACTTTCCCCTCCGGGTCCACATCAACGATGACAGAGTCGCCCTCCTTGACCTCCCCGCCCAAAATCTTCTCCGCGAGGCTGTCCTCCAGGAGCCTCATGATGGCCCTCCTCAGCGGCCGCGCTCCGTAGCTAGGGTTGTACCCTTCGTCCACGACCCGCTCCTTGAACTTCTCCGTCACCTGCAGGTTGATGTCCTTGGTCTTGAGCCTGGTGAAAACCTCCTGCAGCATTATGTCCGCGATCTCTTTGACTTCCAGCTTGGTCAGCTGTCTGAAGACGATCATCTCGTCCAGACGGTTGAGAAACTCTGGTCGGAAGTACTGCTTCATCTCCTCGATCACCAAGCTCTTGATCCTGCCATAGCTGCTGTCCTTCTCGTCCGAGTCGAGGTCGAACCCGATCTTCCTCCCCCCCTTCTCAATCACGCTGCTCCCAACATTTGATGTCATTATCAGGAGCGTGTTCTTGAAGTCCACTGTTCTCCCCTTGCTGTCGGTTAACCTTCCGTCTTCCAGGATCTGGAGCATCATGTTGAACACATCCGGATGTGCCTTCTCAATCTCATCAAAAAGCACAACGCTGTATGGCCGCCGTCGAACCGCCTCCGTCAGCTGCCCACCTTCAGTGTATCCCACATAGCCTGGTGGTGAACCGATCAACTTGGACACAGTGTGCCTCTCCATGAACTCACTCATATCCAGCCGGATCATGGCTTCTTCAGAGCCGAAGTAATATGATGCCAGAGTCTTTGCAAGCTCTGATTTCCCAACACCAGTGGGACCTGCAAAAATGAAGCTCGCAATTGGTCTGTTGGGGCTCTTGAGGCCCACACGAGCACGGCGAACAGACCGACTTATTGCTTTCACAGCCTCGTCTTGGCCGATGACACGCTTATGCAATGTCTCTTCCATCTTAAGAAGTTTATCAGATTCGTCAGTCGAGACTTTCTCCACTGGAATACCAGTCCATGATGACACAATGTGCTGGATATCTGATTCATGCACCATCGGCCCCGTCTCTCCCGACTCAGTCTCTGCTTTGTTCATCTCCTTGCTCTTGTCAATCAAGGCTGTTATCTGGGCCTTCAATTCCATTTCACGATCTCGCAACTCTCCAGCCTAATGGCATAACATTGCAACAGGCACAGCAACCATTAGTTTTTTTTCGATAAAGGGAATATATTAATAGCAACTATTAGTTAGCATCTATATCAAAGAAAGTGCAGATATATGGTGGTTGGCATCCAGAAAGTTGAGATCATCAACCCACATGAATAGAATAAACATACACTAGTGCGGTTTTTATGCTAGAGAAAAGGCAGGTTCAAGGACACTAGTAATAATTTACTTGCAGTGATAACTATTTAATGTCAGAAGTATGACAAACATTTTTTATCATCAACTGAGACCGACCGCACCGACAAGAACGCCTAGATCATACTATGAAATTACATGTCATCTTCCAATTATATCAATGAACACTCTAAACAAGTTAAATATGGTGGATTAACATCCCACATGAAGTTTTTAAACAGTTGGGTTGCTCTATCAGCATTAAGAGAATTCAAAATATAGTAGTCCACCGTAGGCTGATACCTTCTCAAAATCCTGGCCACGGACAGCTTCATTTTTATCTTTCGTTATTTGCTTAAGCTCCTTGTCAAGCTCTCTGGCTTCCTCAGGAACCTACATAAGTGATTCTGTTTAGATTTTGTGCGGGGCATGCAGAAAATAGAAAAGGCCAACATTTAAACACATTCTCTACCTGGGCATGTCGAAGCCTAACACGTGAACCTGCTTCATCAATCAAATCAATTGCTTTATCTGGGAGGAAACGATCACTGCAAACAAAACAATTCGCCAGATATTAAAAGGATACAGGATAGCAGCCAAGTTGTATATGAGATTCGGACAAGAAACATAGTATAATTTTTCTCTGCAATGTTTTTGAAGCCTGAGAATATCATACATCACATTACAGAGCATATATGCTCCTCATTTGGTTTTCTAAGTATTGATGTTGTAGACTCTGATGGTTATGTTAAGCTATTAACTGTCAACAAAAATTTGACCTTTTAATTCGGAATCTCAGCCACATTTTGGTTGCAGCACAGGTTCATTTTGTATCATAAACTACTTGGTAAGTTGTATTGTAATATTAGCATGACCAGCTAAGGTGATAGACTCTATCTCATAGTTCACATACCTGATATATTGATAAGATAGCTTAGCAGCTGCAATCAAAGAATCATCAGTGTAACGAAGTTTATGATGGATCTCATATCGCTCCCGGAGCCCTCTGAGAATTTCTATGGTCTCATCAACTGATGGTTCCGGTACCTTTACTGGCTGGAAACGTCTTTCTAATGCTGGATCTTTCTCAACATGCTTCCTGTATTCATCAAGCGTGGTGGCTCCAATACACTGAGAAGGTTAGTTGTAAAAAAGGTTCAGTAAAATCAAAAGAAACTACAGATTCAGCTTGATGGAATAATACCAGGCACTAGAAATGTTTAGCATAAGAAAGCAGATTGTTAGCCCTGTGTCCCAATACGGTGCCAAGTAATCTCATCGACATACCTGTAGTTCTCCTCTTGCTAAAGCTGGCTTTAAAATATTAGCAGCATCAATAGCACCTTCGGCGGCTCCTGCTCCTATGAGGGTGTGAACTTCATCGATGAAGAGAATTATCTCATCGCTCTGTTTGATTTCTTCCATCAGTTTCTTCAACCGTTCTTCAAATTCTCCACGGTATTTCGTACCAGCAACAAGAAGTCCCATATCAAGGGTAATGACCTGTAGTAAATGGTTTCGAAGATGATCATTTCCTTCCAATCTTTTCAAAACAATGCAGGAACACACACACACACAAAAAGTGACAAGTATGAAGTATAGTACAAATAAGGATCGTAGTCTCAAAAGGTCCACATCTGACTGGTGCAGATTGCGGGGCATGGACCTTGGAAGTTGGGACTATGGCCCCTAATTTGCACACATAACAGATATCGCACGTAAGTAATTTTTGAACACATAATTATTTATAATTTTCCTTTGTGTCATTAACCAATTGTGAAGCTGATTTCATACGGTTTTTTGTGTGTGAAGAAAACAGTAGGTTTCCCTACTGTGATTAAAAGGAAATTGTAGTTTGTATGAATATACATAACTTAAAAAAGACCATCTACTATCTAGCTATGACAAGGCATTATGCCCAAAAGAAGAGAATACAACTAAGGCATGTGCTTAAATGAAGGAGTTAAACCATGCTGGTAAGTCTTTTCTATCATTTCCTCTTAGCTCTATGAACCAGCCAGTGGAGTTGATTGCATACACTAGCCAGTGGGGTTGATTGCATACACCAGCCAGTGGAGTTAATTGCACATGTTACCCTTATTATTTGTCCAAAAGACGTGCACACAAGTTCTGCAATTTTGCTTGTAAGTCTGTGCATCAGCATAGATAATTAAAGAAATTGGATATACACTTGCTCGAAAATTATGTTTTCCACTAAAAGAAAAATATGATTTGTCATAGTAAGGTACAAGCTCAAGCAGAACAGCATGGATAAACCAAACACAAGGCAGTAATCAAACGTAGTAGAAATACAATGAGAGCCATACACCTAATCTACTGGGTGAACACTTCACAGGAATGCCAGAATCAATTAACAGAGCAAATATTAGGATCAACATATAAGAATTGCAACAAGGTATACAACTGCATTAAAGCACCAAGGTATACCTTCTTCCCCTCTATCGTCTCAGGCACATCGCCACTAGAAATGCGTTGAGCAAGCCCTTCTGCAATAGCTGTTTTCCCAACACCCGGTTCTCCAATTAAGCAGGGATTGTTCTTGGTTCTTCTGCCCAAAATTTGTACGACGCGTTCAATCTGTGGTTCCCTCCCAACAACAGGATCTAGCTTTCCCTACAGATATTATTGGACTTAACAATTAGAGGCCTGAACTAGCACCTATTGTGTCGTAGTAAAATGAAAATATTACCTCCTCGGCTAATTTTGTTAAATTAGTCCCATACTCCTCAAGTGTCGGCATCTTGTTACCACTGCTCCCTCCCCCAACTCCAGCACCAACAGCTTCTGTTGTCTCACCAATCATCCGGACAACCTATAGATGCATAACATTTGTGAAAACAAGATAAAAGGAAGAAAAAAAGACTTGCTTTTCAAAGAGACCGCAATCTCAGATATAGCTTACCTGGGTACGAATATTGCTGGGGTCAGCACCAAGAGACTCAAGTACGCGAGCTGCCACCCCTTCCCCCTCACGAAGCAATCCAAGAAGCAAGTGCTCGGACCCAATATAGTTGTGTCCTGGAAAGATGAGGGTATCAGCTCCAGTAAACAGGAACCTTCTAAGCAGTTTGTTCAAATGTAATGACAAAACAGATGCACCACTGTTATGAGCGGCATATATTACAGCCAGGCGGTTAGGGGCCTGGCCCAGTTATCTTATCGTGTTAGGGGCTTAGCCCAATTATATAAACTCATGTAAGGACCCGTTTTAAGATTAAGCAAGAAGCAATCATTATTTGCTCGGCTTCCCGAAGGGAGCCGGCAGACCTAACCCTAGCCGCCTCCTGCCAACGCCACCACCTCTTCCCTCGCGCACGACGGCGCCCAGCCGCCAGCGACCGCGAGATCGCCCACATCCAGCCCCCTCCTTCCCCTACAATCTCCGCCCTAGACCCGGTAGAACCCTAGTTTCTACCAATTTGGTATTAGATAGCTCGGTTCCGATCATGTCTGCACCACCGCCCACCCCACCACTGCCCACATCACCACCGTGCCACCAATCCTCTCCACCGCGCCGCTGGCCCTCTCCACCGCGCCGCTGTCCTCCCCACCCGCGCCACTGGTCCCCACCTCCAGCGCCCCCACCGCCCAGCTGCCAGTGCCCTCCACCGCCATCTACACCCCGGAGGAGGTCACCGGGGTCCTTCACGCTCTCGTTGCAGCGGTCCAGGAGATCCGGCTGTACTTGGCCAGCCCCTACAGGCCTCCGCCACCCCCGCTGCCGGCTGCCGCCACCAGTCCGCCGGCCCTGCCGTGTTACTCGCCGCACTCGGCAGCCTCCGCGGCGTTCGCTGGGCCGCTGCAGCCGCCGCCCGCCACCACCCCGCAGTGGCTGTCGCCGGTTCTCATGACGCCCCCCATGCAGCAGCCGCTGCCGCTGCAGCCGCCCCCCGCCAGCACCCCCATCTAGCCGCAGTGGCCATCGACGGCCCTCGCGGCTCCCGCCACGCCCGTCGCCCACATGCAGCAGTAGCTGCAGCTTCATCCCGCCGCGTCCGTCACGCCCATGCAGCAGCCACTGCAGCCCCAGGCACCCCCGCCGCTCAGCATCGGGCTGGCGACGACCATGCCGGCGGGTGTTCCGATCCAGCAGATCCGGTTCCCACCCTCACCGTCACCGCTTCTGGCCTGGTTGGCCGGGTCGACGCCACAGCCGGCCTACACTATGGCCGGGGAACAGCCGGCGCCCACCCTGCAGTACGGCGGGCCCTCCGGCTCCGCGGGTGCCTACGCTGGCCGCGCGGGACCGCCGTTTCACGGGGGACCCCCGGTGCCCACCAACCCGGCATCATTCTCTTCGCTGCCCCGTACCGCCGAGCCGCACGCCCACGGGGGTCCGACTCCGACCCCGCCGCGCTTCGCCAAGCTCGACTTCGCCACCTACGACGGCACCGAGGACCCCCTCAACTGGCTCAACCAATGCGAGCAGTTCTTCCGAGGGCAACGGATGCTCGTGTCGGACCGCACCTGGCTCTCTTATCACCTCCGGGTGCCGCACAGACGTGGTACTACGCCCTCGAGCAGGACGAGGGCGGCATGCCCCCATGGGAGCGTTCTCGCGAGCTCTGCCTCCTTCGCTTCGGACGCCGATATGCGGGAGCCGGCTGGCGGAGTTGGGCCGCCTCCCCTTCACCTCTAGGGTGCAGGACTTCACCGACCGCTTTCAGGCCCTGGCGTGCCACGCGCCCGACGTGACGTCTCGCCAGCGGGCCAAGCTCTTTGTTGGCGGTCTGCCAGATCATATCCACGTGGACGTGGAACTGCAGGGACCCCAGGACCTTCAGACGGCCATGTATTACGCACGCGCGTTCGAGCGTCACGCGGTGGCCATCCAGCAGGCATCACCGTACAGGGCCGCTGGGTCGCCACCCTGGCCGGATGTTCCCGCGCAAGGTTGGCCTGCTCAGGCTTCCGCGGCACCCCTCGCCGCGACCGCGGCGCGCCCGTTCCGCCGGCTCACCTCGGCCGAGCTGCTCGAGCGTCGCCGCCAAGGGTTGTGCTTCAACTGAGACGAGCCCTACGTGCCCGGCCACGTCTACTCGCGTCTCTTCTACCTGGAGGTTGCGGACTACATGGAGGAGGAAGCCGCCGCCGCCGGGCTCGGCGACCTGCACGCCCCAGTTGCCGCGAAGGTGTTTGGTGACGGCTGTTCACCTCGAGGAGTTCCGCAAAGCGCTTTCCCGCCTTCCAGCTCGAGGATGAGCTGTTTGTGCAGGCGGGGAGAAATGTTATGAGCGGCATATATTACAGCCAGGCACATAGGGGCCCGACCCAGTTATCTTATCGTGTTAGGGGCTTAGCCCAATTATATCATTAGGAGGATTATATAAACTCATGTAAGGACCCGTTTTGAGATTAAGCAAGAAGCAATCATTATTTGCTCGGCTTCCCGAAGGGAGCCAGGAGACCTAACCCTAGCCGCCTCCTGCCAACGCCAACGCCTCTTCCCTCGCGCACGACGGCGCCTAGCCGCCGGCGACCGCGAGATCGCCCACGTCCAGCCCCCTCCTTCCCTTACAATCTCCGCCCTAGACCCGGTAGAACCCTAGTTTCTACCAACCACATCATGAAAACAGAGGGAAGAATTCACATAAGGAATACAAGGATGTCCATTATTGAAAAACTATATATTGGGAAACCAAAATAATGAAGTGCATGATAAAAGTACATCCATGTATCCCCTTATAAATTTAAAATTTAGACTTTTAGTTCATGTAGAAGAACGATGAAATAGCACTTTAGCAAGTGCAAGTGTCAACATAATACGATGCACTAAAGCATATGTTGGTGAGTTCAACTACAATCCCTTCAGAAAACAGCATAATGGGAATGAGGAGAGTGTGAATTCATAGAATGGCTGCTGTAGCAAAAATTAAATTATGAGTCACAGTCATTGTGGTGTCTGTTCCAGCTGGATCAGCCTGGATCACTTAACCAATGGCAAATCCTACAGATTGTCCAAGACTTGTATGTTTACTGATAGCTGGAGACAACTTCGTTGGCTGGTGGCGACTCAGTAACTGGCCGTTGACTGCACTACGCCATGCCTAATGCTCATAGTTGGTGGATTTTAGAAGCAGCAAAATGCTGCCATCCTCAACAGGGAGAGGCCCTGCATCACCTTGCTGCCCAATACCATCCTGCAGAAGCATAGTTACGGGCTACAGCGGGAGAGGCTAGCTCCAAGCGTCACTATGGGCAGAAGATAGCTCATAGGGGTGTGGTGCTTGTTGAGTTGTTGTGCTTGTCATAGGCCTAGTCATAGGCTTGTAAATAACCTCTTGTATCTATCGAGACGAAAGGCTTTCAGATTTTCTCAAAACAAAAATACTTTTAAGTTGTAACTGAAATGTGATGCCCCAAGACCGGAGCTTCAGATGCCTTCCAGGGTTTCCGAGATTCATTGTGTGATTTTTTTTTTGCTTGTTGCATTCATCATTGCATCATGTGCATTGCATCATGTCATCATGCCATCATGTCTTTTTTTTAACTCAACTAAATAAATGGCATGGATCTTTGATCCATTTAAATCGAGGGAATTCACATGGTGAGTTCTCTTCATAACATATCCTCCTAATATTTAGGGAGCTATTATAAAATATTCCGTTAACTTGGAATCACCCATAACACAATTGCACTACTCTTCAACTCTTCCCTTACCCGACTCAACCTCCTATCCTTTCTTTTCGACCTTTTAAGTTAAATTGCAAATTGGGTTGCAATTTTACTTTCTCCATTAATGTCCCAAATCTGCCCATAAATCACATCTATTGTGTAGGGTCACCTCCTATAATTTCAACCCATTTGGAGTTCATTCGAATGGGTTTCAAAATTCAAACTTGCCGAGTTAAATCCAACGCGTGTGGATTTTACTTCCTCTAAAAATCCTCAGGCCATTTTTGTCAAATTCCTCGTATTTTTGCGAGTCCGGGAAATTTATCTGCGTACTCAAATTCTTTCCCTAACCTTCCTCTTTCCTTTTCTTCTCCTTAATTGTTTTCTGCTAAGAAAATAAAAAGAGAAGAGAGAAAGAGAGAAGGGAGCCCGCAGCCCAATTTGGCCCAAGGCCCACTCCCCCGTAACCCTAGCGCCAGGGGGAGAGCCCATCTGATCGATCCCCAACTTCCCCTGCCTCCTCCTAGCGCCGTCACCAGGGAACCGCACGCCCGATCCCCATCTCCCTCGCAACCCCCATCTCCCCGATCCCCTCGTCCTCTCCCTCATTCCCACACAGCGCCGCCACACCCAGGAGAGGAGCTCCTCGTCCTCGATCCCCTTGCCGCCACCACCGCGAGTTACCCTCGCCGCCGCGCATCCCATGCCGCCGCCGAGCTCCATCAGGAAGGCCACCCCACGCGCGACCCAGCGCCTTGCTGCCTCCCCGTGCCTGGGGCTGCCTCCTCGCCCTCGCTGCTTGCCCACGGGCCACACGGCCTGATGCCGGCGGCCAGCGCCGCCGTGGCCGTCGCCTCACCCGTCCGCCTCAACGCCTCCTCCTGCCTGCGCCTCCCTCTCCTACATGGCCACCCTAGGCTCCTTAGGAAGCCGCGCCGCCCGCCTCTGGCCATGTCTCCGACGAGATCCCGGCAGCCCCACGCCGGAGCCGCCGTTCCTGCGCTGCCGCCACACCATCTTGCCTCCTCGCGCGCCCATGGTCCTCCAGAAGTCTGCGCTGCCCTGCCCGCCTATCAGGAACGCCATGGCTGGCCCCTCCGAGACCTTGGCATGAACCGAGCTTCTTCCTTCCCGAGGTCTCCTGACCCGTCAAGTTCCGCACACGAGACTACATCTCCGGGGACTACCGTGACCGTGTTTTTTTGCCTACTACCACTTCGGTTCGTCAAGGCCACCAAGTTCGACTACGGGGATTCACCCAGTACCATTCGGATGCACCAAGTTCGACTACATGGACCGCCAAGTTCCTCCACCGATGACTCGACCGGCTACAAAACGTGAACCACTACCGTCGACCCGCAAAGACCCCGTGGACGTCAAGTTCCGTGTCGTTGACCCCGAACCTCTACGAAAACGTGTACGACTACTTCCGTGGCCGAAGACCCGTGTACAACTACCGTCGTCGAAGGCCGTCGAGTGAACGTCTACCCACATCGTGTATTTGACCAAGTTCGATGACGACCTCCGAAGAACTCGGATTCGCGAAGTTCTACTACCGTCGCCCCCGGAAACCTTGGATTCGTCAAGTACCTCTCCCAAAGCGAACGTGAACCACTACTTCCCTCGACGACCCGTGAACGACTACTTCCACTACGAACTCGTTCCGCCCGAAATGCACGCTTCAAAGGTATAACCACCGAGACGACGCGCGTGAACGAATGTTGTGTGTTGTATGAAATGCTCGCGTGTGCACCGTGTCCGACGTGTTTCTTGCATGTTCCCTGTTGCCATACCGTCGTCTCGTGGGACACCCGGTTACCGGGACCACCCCACCATCTTTTGACACGCTTCCGTCACTTTTCCTTTTGCACCAGTATCTCCATGAGCTACCGGAACCGACATGTTGCCGTGGCATCATTTTCGGATTCGTCGCCGTGGCACCCTTTCTTTCCACCACGGTGACAAATGCTTCATAATGCTCTTATCAATATTTTCATAAAACTTGCATAAACTTGCGTATGTCATCCGCATCATGATAACAACACCAAGAATGTTTAAATTGTTGTTTGCGGCCTCATTTAAATTGTTGTTTGCTAAATGCATATGGGGATTTACCGGAATTGTTGTTTGATGTTTCCGGCCTCATTTAAAATGCCTAGCGGTGTATTTTACTCATGCTTCACCTCTTGCCATGTTAATCAACATTTAATATTGTTGGGTACATAAACGAGATCGAACTAAATAACTTGAATGTGGTGTTAGTATTGTTTGTGCACTTTGCCATGCCATGCCTCATTAAACCGGACATGCATCATACTTGGTTGTGCATCATGCCATGCTTATGCGATGGTTGTTTACTATGTTGTTTGCTTCTTTCCGGTGTTGCTTCTTCGGGTTGCTTATGCGATGGTTGTTTCCGGTGTTACCATTTGCCACCTAAGCCTTTTTCCCTTGGGTTCTGCAGACTCGAGGGTCATTTTTATTTTGAACCCCCGGGCCAGTGCTCCTCCGAGTGTTGGTTCAAACTGGGCGATGTCCGGCGCCCCCTGGGCAACCAGGGTCTATGCCAACCCGACGTCTTGCCCATCCGGTGTGCCCTGAGAACGAGATACGTGCGACTCCTATCGAGATTTGTCGGCACATCGGGTGGCTTTGCTGGTCTTGTTTTACCATTGTCGAAATGTCTTGTAACCGGGATTCCGAGTCTGATCAGGTCTTCCTGGGAGAAGGAATATCCTTCGTTGACCGTGAGAGCTTGTGATGGGCTAAGTTGGGACACCCCTGCAGGGTTTGAACTTTCGAAAGCCATGCCCGCGGTTATGGGCAGATGAGAATTTGTTAATATCCAGTTGTAGAAAACTTGACACTTATAACTTAATTAAAATGAACCAATCGCGTGTGTAGCCGTGATGATCTCTTCTCGGCGGAGTTCGGGAAGTGAACACGGTTCTTGTGTTATGCTTGAATGTAAGTAGTTTCAGGATCACTTCTTGATCACTTGTAGTTTCTCGACCGTGCGTTGCTTCTCTTCTCGCTCTTATTTGCGTATGGTAGCCACTATATATGCTAGTGCTTGCCGCAGCTCCACCTCACTACCCTTTCCTACCCATAAGCTTAAATAGTCTTGATCTCGCGGGTGTGAGATTGCTGAGTCCTCGTGGCTCACAGATACTTCCAAATAGTTGCAGGTGCCGATGATACCAGTGCAGGTGAAGCAACCCAGCTCAAGTGGGAGCTCAATGAAGATCTTGATCGTTGTTTTGTTTCGTTTCCTGTTGATCAGTAGTGGAGCCCAGTTGGGACGATCGGGGATCTAGCATTTGGAGTTGTCTTCTTTTATTTTGATTCCGTAGTCGGACATTTGTTTGTACCTTGGATGATGTATGAATATGTATATATTGTGTGAAGTGGCAACTGTAAGCCAACTCTTTATCTCTTTCTTATTCAGTACATGAGATATGTAAAGATTACCCCTCTTGCGACATGCCTACCATGCGGCTATGCCTCTAAGTCGTGCCCCGACACGTGGGAGATATAGCCGCATTGTGGGTGTTACATGAAAGTAGTCAGGTAGCTAGCCAATTGTGTGGGCGAACCGGCCAACGGATAAAATTTAGACTTATAGTTGGTGAGGAACATGAAAAAGCGCAGTAGCAATTAGAAGTGTGAAGAGAACATGCTTTACCTCCGCTTCAATCATCCTGGATGGAAGCATAATGGAAAGAGCGATGGTCACCATAATCAAATATGCATTATCAGTCACAAATTCAACCCTAGTGATATCAATTGCCGCTAGTTCAACTTGGAACACTTAGTGATGGAACGAATTCATGTTTTGGTTGCTGAAAACTTTTAAGTTGTACTCCCTCCGTAAAGAAATATAAAAGCATTTAGATGACTAAAATAGTAATCTAAACGCTCTTATATTTGTTTACAGAGAGAGTAACTGATAGCTAGCTAAGAAAAAGGCATCAATCGTTCCAGTAACAGAGATGTAACTATCCCTTTGTTAGGTTTCAGTTTGTCTGGCAGTAACCTAGGAACCATAGAAATAAAATAAAATGGATCAAACTATAGAAAGACCTCTTGACTGACATACCTAGCTGCCGAGCTTCCTCCAATGAAAGCTCTAAAACACGTTTTGCACGTGGTGTGAATGGTATTTCGACAGCAACAAAACCATTGCCCCTCCCAATGATCTTCTCCACTTCCACACGGGCATCCTTCAGATTTATACCCATGGACTTAAGCACCTTTGCCGCAATACCAGTGCCTTCTCCAACCAGACCCAATAGAACTTGCTCGGTTCCGACAAAGTTGTGGCCCAGGCGCCTCGCTTCCTCTTGCGCAAGCATTATGACCTTTATAGCTTTCTCAGTAAACCTCTCGAACATTGCTCTGGTTACAAAAGAAGCACGCCTTCCCCGTCTAGAGAATCTGTAAGATGCAACTGTTGACCTGAAGTTGGACGAGCGCACGGCTGAGAAGCTATGTACCGATCTCAGACCGACAAATGCTGCCATCCTTACAGGACGGTTCAATGACATTGCCAACATTGAGGGAGTCCTCCTGGTTCCATGAGACTTGCAGTGCCGACCGCCTGTACGGCCTGCAAAAGTTGTCTCAAGAGCAACCGGCAGGACTAAGGTCCCTGCCATGGTCAAAAGTAAGTTGTCCCAAACCTGTGCAAGATGTTAGCATAGAAGTAGTTAGAAACCATTCTAGATACTTGATCCTCAAAGAGAAGTAAGCTGAATGCTCAGAGAAAAACACAATAGAAATACTTTAGTACAACAACGATACAAGTCAATGTTTATTTAGCTTTAACCTCTTCGTCTTGCGTCCCTAAGTCTTTTTTTCTTTTGTTTTTGAGAAACACATGTAACTTCATTCATACTCGACAACCATCACAGGTACAATCCTCTGGATCCAAAGTCCAAGAAACTACACAGTAACACCTACAACTAAGAATTATAATGTAATCTCTTAAGAGACATCTTCTCCGTGGTATCAGTCTTTGCAAGATGAACTATAGTCAAGGTTTTATTAAAGATACTGCAATTGGACCGGAGCAGCGACACTGCCACTCGTTTACCCGCACAAGCTTGATTGCCAATAAATGCTTTTGGAAGCCCCTTGAGTCGATCATCAAAGATGATAGGAAGCCGTAAGTTATGAATGGATTTGGGCCTGGATGATCCCCTAGAAGTGCAGGTTGTCAATCTAAAAAAAGGTGCAGGTTTTCGAATTGCAAGATCTTTGCCAAAACGTCAAAGAAGGGATCCGACTCTAGAAAGAAAGCCAACAAAAACAACACAAATCAATAACATAAACTCATCACATGGCACCGCCACGATAGAGAAAGAACCACGGTACCTTTATTCACAAAAACACCACATCCACCACTAGAGAGACCCTAACGAAGACCACAAAACGAAGGAGCTGAGGTCCCGCCATCTCTCAATGCCAAGATGGCAGCCACAAAACTCTGAGGCCAAGATGGCAGCCAGAGGCGAGGGGACTCAAATTTTTTTCAAGTGGCGGCTGTTGTTCTTTCCTAAAACCCTAAACCACACTCCCTTTCTGCCTCACACCCCTAGTGGAAGAAATAAAATAAGACGTGCACTTCATCATGGACTTTATTTTGCACTGTAAATGAAAATACTAGTCCACCGTTCCATACTTTTTTTTCTTGGAAAAGGAGGAAGACCCCCGGCCTCTGCATTTGGGCGATGCATGCAGCCACTTTATTAATTATTCACAAAAGATCTTACAAAGTAATACATCAGTAAGACTGAAGCCACCGTCTAGGCAAAATCTGTCGCTACTCCAATTGATGAAGGGATGCTGATAGTCTGAGCCTAATACCAAATAGACCTCGCAGCCAAACCTAACATCTAAGACCTGAGGCTCCAACCAAGCCACCTGCCGGGTATGGAGCACCCACCGGTCCGGCGCACACTCAGTGGCCGCCGCCGCCAACTGCCACCAATCCATCTTCAGAGCTGTACTGACGCATCAACCTTGCCCGGTCTAGCTGTCGTCGACGCCGCCACGACGCGAGACAACGCCGCCATCCTGCGCTCGTCCATCAACACACGCCCAGCAGCGAAACCCCGCTGCTCCATGCCGCTGGGAACCGCCATTGTCGACGTGTCAGATGCAACGCCACACCTCCTTCGCGAACACCACCTGCTGCCACTGGTCCCATCCCCTCCACTTGCAATTCCTCTGCACTCCCAACCAAGCCCCAAGACCCCTGACGACACCTTCAGGAAGGTCACGACGTGAAGCGCCACTGCCGCCAAAACCGAAGAGGATTGTAGGTTTTCACCCGGCATGAGATCAGGGTGGGTAGATTGGGCCGCGCCTTTATGAAGGAAAGCGATGCCCATGGACACCGCCGCCACTGGAACAGTCAAACCGGCCAAGGTTTCCCCCGGACCCAAGGTACACCACCAGGGCTCACCATCACCGGAGCCTACAGCCGCAAACCAGCGGGACGACAAGAAAGGCAACAGGAGGGAGGGGAACCACCAGATCTGACGCCGCGGAAACCGCCGGAGGAACACCGGCCGCCCAATCCGATCCCCGGCAGCCCACCTGCCCCGCCGCGCTCGGACGAGGAGGCCAACCTAGGGGCCGTCGCCCCGGATCCAGCAGCCTCCGCCCCAGATCAGGCAGAGCATCGCCAGGCTGCTGCCACGACCGCCCCTAAGAACCGGCTGGCCGCCACGCTGCCGCGCTCATGGAGACGTATAACGCCCTCGATGCGGCTATATCTCCCACGTGTCGAAGCACGACTTAGAGGCATAACCGCATTGAAAGCAATGTCGCAAGAGAGGTAATCTTCACACAACCCATGTAATACATAAGGGAAAGAGATACATAGTTGGCTTACAATCGCCACTTCACACAATACATGAATCGCCACTTCAGGTTTTCTTCTCAACGTTGTTTGTTTCATCCGTCTCCAAGTTGCCTTTGTTTTTCCCATCCTCCCTCCCTTTGTTTCTTTAAGGACTCAGATGTCTTAATCAAGTATCTTTCATTCTTGTGAAGTCTCTCCATCCTTTCCTGTCAAAATTCTTATCCGGTGATTCTCATGAAGGTTCTAACGAAGCTTCTAGTTCATCATTCTTCGTTTCTTTTATCTTCTCCGGTGGTTTCAAGTCAAGCTTTGTTAACCTTACCCTTTTTCCTCATTTCAATGCCTTCTCATACCGGTGTACTTCATAATAATTCACTTCTCGCTATTCATTTATTCCGGCATGCTCAAATTTTCTAAAAAGGCTCGTCTTGTCATTCAAGATTCTTTCAAGATCTTTCGAGGATGTTATCTCATTCAAGTCATTTAATTCAACCGGTGCAACCTCTCTTTTAAATCATTTCAACGGTGTTTCTTTTGAGTGGGCCCTAACCCACAGGTCTTTTCCCAGGATCTTACCTGACTCTTCTTATTTTCCCGGAGCTATCCTAAATTCCTTTTAAAGTTTGACGTAAGAATGAGTTATCATCAGTCAAATGCCATCTCCTAGATCTTTCACAATTCTTTTCATCGTTGGCTCAACCTCTTCGTTTTGATTCTTCCGGAGTGTCTAAATAATTCTTGGTGATGTTTCTCGTCGTCATTCTCGGATTTTGAAGACCGAAGAAGAGTTTCTCTTTAATCTTGCTCCACTCTCTTCAAGATTCGTGATTCTAGCTTGTTGCCATCCTCTCGTAATTGTTTTGATCGTGAGAATTTTTTTCACCTATCCAGAGCAATTCAAGAGTCTTCTCAGTTTGTTATCCGGAGTCCATCAATTCAGGTTTATTCATTCTCAGCTGTCAGTTATCATTCTCCTATCTTGCCGGTGCATCAATCAAATATCCTCTAATCAGTTCTTGATCTCTTCGTTCTCATGTATCTAGTTTTTCTCAAGCACCTTCGTTCATTTGCTAATTCTTACCGGTGATGCACCCCTACTTCGATCATTTTCAATTCTTACGGTGGTCCGTTCAAGAGTTCTCTTCCTTGGTCACCATATCAATTTATTCGTTGTTTCAACCCTTCCGGTGATTCGTTCAATACCTTCTCAAGTTTGCGCTATATCTCTCTTAATCCTTTCTACGAGAATAAGTAGGGTGCCAAATGCATTGTTTGTCATCAATTTAATTGATGAAGGACGAGCATAATATAATTCTTATTCTTGTTTCATCGAGTTTGTTCAATTCCTGTTTTTCCGGAGTGGTTCATCATACTTATTCTGGGTTTCAAGTGCTCTTCTTTCTTTCCCGGAGTTCCAAGTTCTCTCAATTATTTCATCGCGAGATCCATTTAAATCATTGCAAGGCTTCAATCTTATTCTTTTCATCCTCCATTTCGATTGATCATTTCTTTTACTACCGGAGTTCTTCATGGAGGTTCTACATGATGGTTCATCAAGGATTTGATTCCTTCTCGAAGTGTTCATCGAGATTCTTTTCAGAGGAGCTCTAGCATTCTTCATCTTGCATTCGTGAGTGCGATTTCTTTCTACCGTATCTTTGGAGGTGGTATTATGTCATTCTTGATAATTTGAGCTCATCCTTCATGATTCACATATTGTTAAGAATGAGGTATTTTAAGTCCATCAATCTCTTCATTGGAGTTATATAGGGTTATATTTCACCTAAAGCCTTCCCTGAGGATTGTTGCTATCATGGTGTTTATATTTGACCCAAGCTCTTCTTTATCCTTCCGGTGAAATACTTTCTCGTCTCCTTGTCCATATCAATTCAATTCTTCTTCCCGTGAGTGGCAGGTTGTCACCTCATAATTTGAGATGTATTCTATAAGACCATATCAAGCTTATTCTTTTCGTTGTTGGTTTTCAATAACTCCGTTCTAGCATTTGTTGTAACCGTGCTCTCTCAAGATCTTGTTTCCCTTCGTTCCGGAGACATTGTGATGTTGCTCTCCTCAACCCATCTTCTCGGATTGTCAGGACCATGTTTTGATCGTGCTTATCCTTTTAACCGGAGTATTGTGTCCCTTTTCTCAAGCTCTTTCATGTTATCTAGTTTTTTTTCATCTCTTTTGAACCGGAGTGCTGTCCGAGATCTTTCTTACTCCCTTGCCCCATTCATTCAATAGTTACGGAGGTAGTGTGTTGTTGATTTCATCAAGTATCCTCTCATCTTACCAAGTTCTTATTCAATTTCTTTTCTTTTCAATCGGAGTGCTGCTCGAAGTTGTTCTTCCTTGTTCCTCTTTTCTAACGGAGTGTTCTCAGCTTCGTCATCTCCGCTGTATTCTTTTCTGGATATGGCTTAATCTTTTTCAGGGTTCTTTAGTTTCACTCGTTTGGCAAAGGAGCAACTTAGTTTTACCTCTTCTCTTTCTCTTCCGTTTTCCCTCCGGTGCCATTCTAGATCTCGGGACGAGATCCTCTCGTAGTGGTGGAGTGTTGTAATGCCCCGAGACCAATGTGTCAGGTGTCGTCCAGTTATTGGCTGTTGTTGCCTTGTCATTGCTTGCATGTCATGCATTGCATATCATGTCATCATGTGCATTTCATTTGCATACATGTTCGTCTCATGCATCCGAGCATTTTTTCCGTTATCCGTTTTGCAATCCGGCGCTCCGTTCTCCTCCGGTGGTCATTTCTACCTTTTTCTCGTGTGTGGGGATTAA